TCACTTGTCTGTTTGACGAGTTGTTGTGTGTGGTGCTAAGCATGGCGAGACTCACTGACGATGCCGGCGAAACGTCTGGGAATGTACCACGTCGACGGTTCAACTTTGGAAATGATGATGTATACAATTGACTCAGGACAAGGTGCGATGCTTTAAGTCTTCCGACAAACATGACCATGTTGCGAAAACAAGGTCAAACAACCTCTATTATGCTTTTTGGTACATGAATTAGAAGTGGTCTGATCGCGTTTTCACAACTTGTTCGTGTTGCTCGGGCCGAGCTAGACGAACGCATCTTGTTCCAAGTCCTCTTTCCGAGTAATCGTGATCCTTTACAACGTCTGTCTGTCGACTTGGTACACTCCCAGACGTCTCCATGGCGAGTTAGAGTTTGCGAATGTACCAAGTACATGGTGCGATGCTAGAAATTATCCTCAGTCCTGCGACAGGGGATTTCGGACAAGATTAGTTCCCCATTAAAACACGATCAAGAGGTCAACTTGAGGTACAAACAGCCAAGAATACTGCATCGGAAAGAGGTCACACCATCGTGGTCGCCATTTCTCAGATTTCACCCAGTCTTGTTGGCCAAATGGGCTCTCTCATCCTCACCATTTCATTTGGAGCCTATGCAGAATGTGAGACTGGGTCGTGTGGAGGTTATGTTAACACGTGACCACAGTCAAACAGCCTTGAAGACCAGTCAGTGACGGGACAAACACGGCACTTGGGGCAACGTTAGTGACTCCCTCGGTCACTTTAGCTATGGACAGGACTGATGGTAGAATTGCATACTTTGTTTGGCTCATTTCACCGTGAAAAATTCTACAGTGTACCTTTGCAGCCATTTGCTCGACACGAAGCTCCCAGAAAAGATCTACGAATAATAGGAAAATATGCTCACTATTGATATGAGTAGTGCAGTCGAGGGTATTGAAAAAAGCCAGTTTGCCTCTTCGATAATCATACTTTAGCTGCCTGGCAAATGAGAGTGTTAATATGAGATGCATTCATCCAATTTCCTTTAAGGTCATGAAGGACTGGCAGTAGAATTTTCCCACAATTATATGAGTTGAGCTGACGTTTCCATTCAATTTCACATATTTTTCGAATTAAGTATTGTTTTTCGGGTCTA